CTCACCATCCAGACCCGACCAATTAGAGCCTTCCCAACTCCTGGCTTTCAGGGACTGGGTCAGGGCTGGGTTCACCATCCAGACCTGACCAATCAGAGCCTTCCAAACTCCTAGCACTCAGGGATTGGGTCAGGGCTGTGGACATGATCCGTTCTTTGGCAAAGATCAGTGAGAAAGGAAAGCTACTTTTCATGTGGAATAGGTGGGGATCTAGTGTAAAGAAAATCTGAGAGTGAAACCAACAGAGGGAAATGTGGAGGTCACCAGAGTCCCGAATCTAGCTTTGCCTGGAACCAGCGCTACTTGCCAGTTCCACGAGCCAATAAACTCCCTTTTTTATTCTGAAGCCAAATTTGAGTTGCGGTTGCTATCCCTTGCCACCAAAAAGTCCTGACCCACTCTGTGAGGTTCATCTATAAAATGGGCCTAATGCCTACCTTCACAGGCGTAAAGTGAGGTTCGAATAAGATAACAGTGTGTCTCATTCTGGGTGGATAGGAAGTGCTCCATACATATGTTTTATTTATTTATTTTTTTAAAAGATTTTATTTATTTATTTGAGAGAGAGCACATGAGAGCGGGGAGGGTCAGATGGAGAAGCAGGCTCCCCACGGAGCAGGGAGCCCGATGCGGGACTCGATCCCGGGACTCCAGGATCATGACCTGAGCCGAAGGCAGTCGCTTAACCAACTGAGCCACCCAGGCGCCCCCCCATACATATGTTTTAAATGTAAATAATCAAAGCAAAGGCTCAGTACAAAATGCGGTTTGTGAGGACCATCGGGCCCTGCTGCCAGCAACCTCCCCCTAAGATTTACCTCCTTGCTAAGTCTTGCTAACCAGATGTAAACACAGGCAACAGGACAGAATAAGGCCATATATTTTCAGGCTGCTGACAGATGGCAGTGGAAATGCTCAAGCAGATTGTAGCATTAGGTGGCAGGAGGCAACACACACAGAGATGGATTTATTTTCTGCCTCCTTCCCAGACACACGTCGGTCCTACCTTCTGATCACCTACCCTTCCCCACATTTCCCCACGTCCGATGCACCAGCCACCCCGGACCCAAGGCGAGAGTGCTTTCTTCCTTGGGTACAGAGAGCTCTGTGCACTCTAGAAAATTCCTCTGCCTATATTAGTATCCCACGAGCCCTTGGGGCCCACACTGGGGTAAGCAGAGACAGTGGTGTGCATGTAACACAGAGAACGCTGGCTCAGGGCGGCAGTCGTCGTGGACAAGGCCCTGTGGCCGGCTGGAGGCCGGGCTGGAATTAGAGGCCAGGCACCAAGCACTCGATCTGGCAGGCTCTTGAACTCCGGTCACACGTACAGGCCTCACCTCCATGGCTGGCACAGGGACCTCCAGGAGGGGCCATTTGTCCTCTTGGGACACTCACCGAACACCACATTCTGGGGGCCCCCACAATATGCCACGCCTTTACATAATTGCCTTTTCCTCTCCATGTCAAAGAAGACACTGAGGTTCCAAGAAGTAAAGTCCCCGGGCCCCGTTTCCACGGCAGTGAGTCAGAGAGGTGTGAGCCGAGCCCGGGGCCCATGTGCCCCCACTGCCACAGGAGCCCCTGCGGGCTGGTCGGAGGGAAGACACACACAGTGCCTTTTCACCCGCACATGGGAGGTGGGGACTGCTTGTCTCCCCTTCCCCCTGCCCAGGGGGCCTGGGATTTTATTCCCAGGAGAAAGCTCATTTCAGGTGCGGACGTTGCAAGTAAACAGAGAGGAAATGTGCTTTTTCAGTCTCGAAGCCCTGAGAACCTTTACCTTAAGCTTCCCAGATTCAACAAACGCATTAAGAAAAGATCCAGAGAATCTTCTTCCTCTTCAGCCCAGCTGACAAGTGTCGATCGTACACCCTGTCCTCCCCAGTCTCCTCACAAGGGCCCAGGGGTGGGGGGGACAGGGACATCCCCCTCCCGTTGCCCTGCTTCTCGTCCATTCAGGAGCCAGTGACCTTTCTCATGAGAGTCCGATCCAGTCACTCCCCTGCTTCAAAGCTCCCCTTTGCCCCAGGATGAATTCCCGGCACGCCTGCAAGCACGCAGGGCTTCTCGGCGGTGGCAGGGCCCCACCTGTGAGGGCCCCACCAGGACATACACATGGCTTGCGAGGTGGGTGTGTTGGTCTCCCGTGGCGACTCTAACAAGCTGCCACAGACTTGGTGTGATGGCTCGAAACAACAGAACTGCGTTCTCTCACACTCTGGATGCCCAAGTTGAAAATCAGCTTCACTGGACCCCTACCAGTGCGTCACCAGAGTGGTACTCCGTCCCGAGGCTCCAGGGCAGAACCCATCCCTCACCTCCTTAGGCATCTAGTGGCCCTAGCTTGTGGCCCTGTCACTCGTCTCCGCCTCCACGTCACCTCCTCTCAATGTGAATCATCTGCCTCTGCCTCTCTGATAAGCAGTCTTGTGATGGCACTGGGGTGATCCAGAATATTCTCTGCATCTCCAGATTCTTAATCACACCCGCAGGACCTTTAGCTTCTGAGGTAACACAGGTGCCCGGGATGAGGAGCGCTACCTTTGGGGGCCACCACTCACACGGTGCAAAGCTCTGCGGGGTGGGGTGTTAGGAAAGCAGTATTGGTGGGGGTGTGAAGGGCATGTCAGCCGCTTCGGAAAGGACCACCGTGGGGTTAACACTCGAGAGAGATACTGGAGCAGGTGAGGGCCGCCAGGCTCCACGTGCTACTGTGTCAAGGTGACAGCCAGTGAGCCCGGATGCTTCCCTCCAGTGGGGAGGCAGTTTGATGAGGCTCAACGGCCTCCCTAGGGACCAGAGGTCTTTCCCAGCAGGAATCTGAATGCCACTATTAATCACACCATGGGGACTTGATCCTGAAGATTCACAAGTAGTCGACAACGCTGGGCAGTTGGCATGGACTCACCCAAAACGGACCCCTTCTCTTCCTCTCCACCGTGTGTTCCCTGCTCGCATGAGGCTGTTGTCCAGAGAGACGGGGGCACTCTGGTGTCACCTGTAAAACCAAGGCAGGGCAGCTTCCGGCCTGCAAATGCCACCTCCCTGGGGGAGTACCACCCTGGGGGCATGGGGCCCACTCCAGCAGGAGGGCCCCCGCTCTGGGGAGCCTCAAATCTAGATGCTAATTTTGAGGGTATGGGCCTGGGACTGTCAGGAAATGATGTCCTCACAGCCACCAGAACCTCTGCAGTACTGAACAGGAAGACGGGGGGTTGAGCATTGCATTTCCAGCGGCCTCTGGGCCCTAGTCACGGTCAAGGCTGCCGCTGAGGTCACAGAGCTGAGCGCCACTGCAGAAAGAAGCGGGACCAGAGGAGCAAAGGGAAGGGGGTGTGCCTGTGCATGTTTGCGGACTCCAGTTTTTCTGAAATTAATCCAGGTGGATGAGACTTGGGTGGGGGGGGGTGTCCTTTTCCATACACAAGGAATAGGACTTGTGAAGTCCCATCTTGGTGGAGAGCAGAAGGTTCACAGCACAAATGACTTTTTGAAGCTGTCTTCTCTGGTCTGGTGCTGGGGGACACTGGCTGAGGGCAAGTTGGAGCCAGAGGGCAATGTGCCAAAGCAGCCACAGCTGAGAGCCCAGAGCACTGGGCTGGGGTGATGGTAGGCTGTTCAAGGCTTCAGGAACAGTGGAAATGCACACCAGGGGAGGCCATTCTCCAGGCTGACCCCCAGCTCTTGCACATGCATCCTAGGACCGAGGAATGATCATCCAGAGGGACCTGCCCAGCTTCCCCCATGCTGCTGCCCATACCCCTCCTGCACCCGAGGAGTTTCCTCAAACTGCAGGGGAAAGCTTCACAGGGGCCCATGCACCTCCTCCATGGGCCTCCCAGAGAAGCAGGCCAGGGTGGGGCCGGGAAGGCTGGGGGCTTGGGGCCATTTGGGTGGCCGTCCACTTTCAGAGGAGGGCGGCCTGCATGGAAGCACCTAGGAGGCTGGGGTAAGAAGAGGGGCCAGGGCAGGGCCCAGAGGAGAGGAAGGGGGGCCCAGCTGGCCATTAACGTCAGGCTCTGGGAGCCATAGGAAGAAAGCTGAGGGAGCACTCACAGTATCTTGTTGTCCAGCCCGGCTTTCCCTAGTGGGAAAGGGGATAGCTGGGATCTGAGCCTGCAGCTTCATCCAGCATTTGGCTAAAGGGCCCCCTGTGCCAAAGCTGTAAGGAACCTAGTTTGGTGGATGGGATACTGGCATACAAGTGTCTTAATGAGTTCTCACTATATAACAAATGACCCCCAGACAGTGGCTCAGACCACATGCGTTTATTATGTCACACACTTTTGGAAGACTGGGAATTCGGAAGCAACTTAGCTTGATAGTCCCGGTTCAGTTTCTCATAAGGCTGCACTCATCTGAAGGCTCAACCGGGGCTGGAGCAAGAAGGCTCCCTCACATGGCTGTGGGCAGGAGACCCTCACCACAAGGGCCTCTCCATGGGCTGCCTGAATGTCAGCTTCCCCCAAAGGAGGAGAACCGAGAGAGATGGAAGCCACCACGTGTGTTGTAACCTGCTCCCAGAAGTCATACTGTCATTTTTACCATGTTCTATTTGTTAGAAACAAATCACTAAGTATAGCCCCCACTCAAGGGAGGAGGTAGGTCCCTAATTTGTAGTGAAGAATTTGTGGATGTATTTTGAAATGACCATTGCGTGTGGGTCTTCGCATTCTGCTGTGTTGATCTCATGCTCTCCGGTGATTAAGACTTAATTTGGGGGTAAGGTCTAAAGAGGAAGCATGTGGCTGCCTAGAACATGGATTCTCAGAAACAAAGGCATTTTGTGTTAAGAGTGTTTTTAGGCTTAGTGGCAGCTCTGAGAAAGTAGATGGGGAGAGAGGTTTCTGAAAGCAGACCCAGTAAGATGTCTGTAGATGGCATGACATCTAGGAAAGGGCCCAGTCACAGCCAAGCGATTTTCTCGTGAAACAGATCTGGTTTGAAAGAGTCCTTGAACTCAGGCAGTTAGCTGAGCTGGGAGCGGGCAGATGAAACTGGGTTCTGGGCTCCAAATTCTGTCCCCGTTTCAACACATGACGGGTTGTAATGTCACTGAGCTCAAATCTGGGGACTTCAGAATTCTGGAGCCCCGGTGAGCAAAAGGAAAAGTTTGGCTGCTTAAAAATAACCCCACAACTGAAAAGGGCCATGTTACGTGTCAGTCAGTTGTGGGAAGGTTCCTTGACCGGGTGGCACGGAGGCTGGTACTGAATTTTTTCTTGGAGAACTTGGCAGAGCATTAGGACAGTATGCATGTACCCTAGCTTAGGGTATGACCCTCCTCCATCTGGGAAGATGACCCTCTTAGGCCAGCCAGTGGCGGGAGGGACCCCAGGGAGGAAAGGGAACTGGGCCTGGTGTGCTGGGCCAGCCACGCTGAAGGCGGATCGGTGGCCGCAGCCTGTCATCCTCGCGGACACACCGGTCTATGGCACATCCCTCTTCACCTGCCCGCACCGGCTCGGGCATGGCGAAGAGAAAGGTGCCCAACACACACACACACACACACACACACACACATAAAGTATCTTAACCCTTACCTTAACTTTGTCACTAGACACGTTAGCATTACTCACAACTCAACAGCATTTTTGGCTGTTTTATTTTTAGCCCTTGGCAACTTGTTTCACAGAAAAGACATTGTCGTCAACATGAGACACTGGTTCACCGTTAGGAAATTATTAACATTGCAGTTTTCAAATGGGGTCTCAAGTACTCCCGGTAAAAGTTACGCCTCTGGTGAGTATTTCGCACTGCGGTCCACAGCACACTACCATCCCCCGGCTGCCTCTGGCACGGGCAGGGGCATACAAGCACGCTGCGCCCTTTCACACGGCCGCCGCTGGGAAGCACAGCTTTGCTTTTGCCCCGGACACTGGGGAAACTCCCCGTTGAGGACACTCACTCAAGAGGGGCCAGCTGCACAGCCCACTCGGCACCCTGGGGCTCAGAGTTACCTCAAAGCCCCAGGTTCCCTTCCACATTACCAAGATCTGCCCCCCCCGCCCCCCGCCATGGGTGTTCCAAAGAACAGGCTCCTGGTTCTGAATATAGTTCCAGAAGAATGCAAACGAGGTGGTTTTGGCATCGCTGCCTGCCTCCCTGCATCGAGCGTCCAGACCTCCCGGGAGGACCGCTCTGAGGCACCCCCACTGGAGGTGTGGGAGCACCGGTCCACCTGCGGGTGACTCCCATCCCCCTGTGGATGGACGCAAACACCCAGCTGAACGCTCGAGGCACTAGTTAAGGCCCCGAAGGGAAGGGCGGCGAGAAACGCTGGGGGCGTCAGACGCAGAGCGACAGGCCCACAACCTGGCCCTGCCCGTCTTCGGTACGACGTGGCCAGTGGAATAAAGTCCTTTACTGCACAGCTCTGGGCCTGCTGACCTGAAGAACTACCCGCTCCAACCGCAGGCTACAAAAGGAGTTCACAAACACATACCGTCACGGTTCCTGACAGGGGGACCAGGCCAAGAAAGAGAGAACACAGGGACCTCTTCTGTTGCAGAAGGCAGGGCTCCCTTTGCTGGTGGTCAAGCTGCTAGTGCCCTCCCGGGGTGGGGGGGGGTGAGCCTCGCGCCGCGGCCCGGCTCACAGCAGGTTCACGCCGTGCTTCAGCAGCTTCTGCTTGGCTTTGCCCGGGAGGCTGAAGGCGCCGTCCTGCGGGCTGGGGAAGCCGGAGCTCTGCGCGGCCGCGGCCAGCTGCTGGAAGTAGGTCTCCTGGGCAGGGCTGCAACAGGCATACACCGCGGTGGAGGCGTTCCTGGGGGGGGAGGGAGAGATGACCATGGCGGGGGAGCGAGATGACTGTGGGGGGGGGGGAGCGAGATGACTGTGGGGGGGGGAGAGATGACTGTGGGGGGGGGAGAGATGACCATGGCAGGGGAGCGAGATGACTGGGGGGGGGAGCGAGATGACTGGGGGGGGGGGAGAGAGATGACCGTGGGGGGGGGAGCGAAATGACTGTGGGGCGGGGAGAGATGACCATGCTGGGGGAGAGATGACCGTGGGTGGGGGGGAGAGATGACCATGGTGGGGGGAGATGACCGTGGCGGGGGGGGAGATGACCGTGGGGGGGGAGATGACCGTCCCGTGCCGCCTGTGCAGGCCTCTGACCACGGGACCTTGAGAGGCACGCCACGGGGGCCCCACGACTCTAACTGCCCCGGGGTACGTCTGCCATGGCTCAGGGTTCAGCATCTGCACTTGAGGTCTGGGCCTCGGCGCCCATCACCGTCTCTCTTTCCTTTCCACTCACTGGACCCTGGGACAGTGTGCAGTGGCCCCGGCACAGAGCCCAAGGTGGGAACAGCCGCACGGCCGCATGGATGGCCGCACGTTGTGCTGACGGAACAGCAGCTACGGCAAATGCTCTCACACGGCGGCGCTGTGACCCCAGGTGACAGGCGGGGCCCTAGGTGACAGGCGGGGCTGGGCAGTGCTGCCAGGCTATCGTGGGGGACAGGCTGGACGAGTGAAGGGAGAGCGGGCTGTGACATAAAGCGACAGGAAACCAGTCACAGAAGCAGAGGGAAGGATGCGCGTCCCATGCAAAGGAAGACCCACTAGGGAGGAAGTGACCCCAGGGCCAGGCAACCAGCTGGTTCCTTGATCCTGCCTGCCTCTATTTCTCCACTGGGCCTCAGTTTCCCCAAATCTAGTAAGAGAGGGTGGAGTCAGGGACCACCAGGGCTCCCCTCGCTGGGATCTCTGCGTCCAGGCAAGGAGGGAGGAGATTCCCATCCACCTCTAGCGTCTCCCTCTGGGAGCGCAAGGGGCCAGAAGGGCCTCTCTGGCCGAGGTGTTTTGTGCCACTCCCCAGACTAGCAGGAAGTGTCACAGGCCAGTCATCCCAGCCATGGAGAGGGGGCGCCACAGCCTGGTGGTTACAAGCATGGAGCCAGGGTCCCACACCAGGGTGCAGATCCCAGCCCTGTGGCTTCCTAGCTGCGTGCCCCGGGCTAAGTGACGCATCCTTTCTCAGTCCCAGCTCTAAGTCCCACATCTGTAAAGTGAATAGGACAACAGTGAATCCCGTCCCTGAGATTTTTTAAGAGACTAGATAAGTCAAATACATATAAATTGCTTAGCATATGGTGAGGGGTTAAGAAATGGTGGCCGCTGTTTCTATTACTATTAAAATAAGTCATGTATCCCCACACTAGAATCCTCTCCGCCCCGAGGAAGGCGGAGTACCACAGGGCCACAAGGAGGTTGATGGATCACAGGCTGACATTTCACTTATTTCCATCCCTCCCAAAACAGACCCCCACGCACCCCAGTGCAACCGGTTCCCAAAGCCGTGACTGGACACGTTCATCTAGGTTGCCAGCCTGGGGCAGCTTGGACTTAAAGCCGGAGAAGGCACATTTTCGTGGAAAGATATATTGAAGTATTGGCTGGAGATGGTCCTGGGCGGCAGAGATGCCTGAAACCCCATGAATAGGGCATTGGCATGGCATCGCCGTGATGGTTGAAGCCCCAGTGCACGTCTGTGGGAGTCCAGAGCCCAGACGCCTCCCTCTCGACCGTCCTACCCCACCCCCTTGAGCTGGAAACACGTGGACAGAATGTGCACTTCAGAGTCAGAGACATGGATTCAAATCCTGCCCCTTAATCAGACTGTGATCCTGGGACAAGCCACTTACCCTGTTTGTGCCTCAGTATCCTCATCTGTACCATGAGGACAAAAAATAATGCACTTGTCCAAATCATTCCAAGGACTGAGTGGAATAACGAACACAGAGCACACCCTCCCCTCCTGACCCTCTAACTTGCCTTATTTTCTCCTACCAGTTTCATAAGAGAAGCATGTAGGGAGAAAAAGTAGGATTCAGTTGGTTAAATACTATAAAGTACAATACTAATTTATAGATCTGTACCTACAGACATAGAGATGCTTAGGATATACAATAGAGTGAAAAAAGGGACTTGTAAAACAGTACATTAGCGTGATCCTGTTTTCTAGAAGAAAAACAATTAAAATAACTAAAATACTAACAATCTCTATTTGCTAAGAAAAGAAGAAAACCCCACAACAACAAAACCTGGAGTAAGAGACACCAGACTAACCCGTGGGTATCTTTTGGGTGTGTGACGGGTGAGGGGAGGCAAACATTTTACTTCCTCGATTCGGGCCACTCTGACCGTTTCTGTGAGCACGCGACCCACGTTAGCAGGCAGCAACGGCATTCAGGCATCGCTTCTGGCAATAGACAGAAGCCCTCTGTCCCATGAGAGGAGGTGATGGTGGGTGGGCAGGGGAATGGATAAAAGGAGGCCTTAAAGAGAATCACTGGAATGTTCTTCCATTTCATTATGAATAATGCTGTGGCCCAGACCCCTGGGAAGGCAGCTCTGGGTGCAGGACTTCAGGAGTAACCCGGGGGCGGGCGGGGGGTGGGGGGGAACGACACTCACCTGACAGTCATCTCGTACAGTGCAGGCAGCTGGGCAAAGTCCGAGTGCATGAGGCTGACGGCCCGTAGGAAGCGGCGGTCCTGGGGGGTGGCCGCCTGTGGCAGGTTTGCTTCCGGAAGAGGACACAGAAGTTGTGGGTAGCGGACTCCTCCCCCGCCCTCCCCACCCCCAGCACTATAAGCAGGGCGAGCAGGGGGCTCAGGGCCATGAGAGCCAGCACCCAGGGTGCTGGGCCCCTTCAGGTTGCCACCATGAGACAGAGAATGAGCAGCACTGGTGTCTGCCCATGAATACCAAAATCTCAAGGCAGACCTTATCACAGATATTTGAACATGTGTGTGCTTCTCTCAAAATGTTGGAGAAACAACCAAAAAAAGACAAATGAGTAAGGAAGTGTTTGCCAGTCGAATTCTAAACTCAGTGGGAGCTGGCTCCCAAGCGAGAAAGCAGCATCCTAACTGCCGTCCACAACTCTGGGCACAGCACCAACCCTGGGGGCGCCGGCCCCGAGTCCTCACCCCCACCCCTGTCTACGAGGCACCCGGGCCCCATGCGCCTCTCCTTACCGGTCAGCACGTTCTGGATGCGGTCATAATGCGTGAAGCTGTACGTCCTGCTGGGGGAGGCAGCCACGTCTTTGGGCAGCGTCTCCTTCAGGTGGACCTCCAGCCCGTTCAGGGATGCCAGACTACTGTGGTACTGGAAAGGGGCGGCACGGTTAACCTCAGCAGGCCAGTGCTTAGGAAATAACGAGCCAAAGATTACCCGAGTGGCCACCTGATGTAGCAGAAAGGACTCTGACTGGTGTTTTTACCTGCTTTTAGAGAAGTAACTCCTGCCCTTACATTCTTTTTTTTTTAAGATTTACTTATTTGAGAGAGAGAAAGGGAGCGAACGTGAGGGGTGGAGAGGCAGAGGGAGAGAGAATCTTTTTTTTTTTTTTAAAGATTTTATTTATTTATTTGAGAGAGAGAGAATGACAGAGAGCATGAGAGGGAGGAGGGTCAGAGGGAGAAGCAGACTCCCCGCCGAGCAGGGAGCCCAATGTGGGACTCGATCCCGGGACCCCAGGATCATGACCTGAGCCAAAGGCAGTCGCTTAACCAACTGAGCCACCCAGGCGCCCAGGGAGAGAGAATCTTAAGCAGGCTCCACATCCAGTGCGGAGCCCCACATGGGGCTCGATTCCACAGCCCTGAGATCATGACCTGAGCCAAAACCAAGAGTCGGACACCTAACCAGCTGAGCCACCCAGGCACCGCCCTTATGTTCTGATGCTTTCTTAAATTGTAGAAAAATCAGGGCACCTGGGTGGCTCAGTTGGTTAAGCGACTGCCTTCGGCTCAGGTCATGATCCTGGAGTCCCTGGATCGAGTCCCGCGTCAGGCTCCCTGCTCGGCAGGGAGTCTGCTTTGTCCTCTGACCCTATCCCCTCTCATGTGTTCTCTCTCTCTCAAATAAATAAAATCTTAATAAAAAAAAATTGTAGAAAAATCAGAAAATAGAGGCGAACAGAAAAGCTAAGGAAGAAAGCGAAGTTTGGATTTCTGTATCCACAGGCAACGTGTTACTGGAACACAGCCACTCCGTTTATTTACATGTTGTCTACGGTGATTGCACTACAGCAGTGGAGCCGGGAAACTGTACAAGGCTGAACACACACGCCAGGTGTTCCTTTACGTGAAACATTTGCCAACCCCTGAGACACACTAGCACACACATGACCCTCACAACAGCCCCAGGAGACACGAAGCCGGGCTAACTCCTGGATCCTCCAGCTTCTAGTCAGTAGTAAAGCAAGTGGCTTGAATGTCAGTGTGTGCCATGATGTGCGGAATAACACACCTTCTCCCAAAGCACCCGTTTCACGGGGGAGGGGTGCATTTTCATGAAGTATTTTACACTCATACCCTGGCACTAACCTCAGGCCTCATCTACTGTACACGGACAGCTCCAGGTCCCACTGTAGCAATGAATAACTGATCTGATCCCTGTATTTGAAGGTCAGTAAGATGATCTTGGGTTTCAAGCAGGAAACTATCAGTGGCTCTATGCTGCCCCCTGGTGTGAGCGTACTGTTTTCTCGGACCCACTGGCAACCTCTCCTGGCTGCTCCCCTCGCCCACCCCCTTCCACCAAGCTCCCCGTCCCCACCCTCAGCAAACATAAAGAGGTGGCAGTTCATCCACTGAAAGACAAGATGGCAAATGACACGAGGGTCCCTTGATGGTGTATAATATGATCATGGAGCCCTTTCAAAGTGGTGGGGGAGCTCACTGTCCTATCTGAACTGTGGTTTACCATGCTGCAGGGGACCTGCTTTTCTTGACAGCAGGAGAGGGGAAATCAGGTCAAGTATTTTGTATGCAGTTCCAGGACAAAAAGGCAATAAAAGATCTCTCCCAATTATAAAACAGACAGCCTTCAGGCCTGATCAATAAAGCCCGCTCTCAAACCAGCAAGCTGATCAAAGTTAGTTACTCCCTACTCTTTTTAGAAAAGAGGAGTTTTTCTTTTTCATTACACTGCATCTCTTTCCTGGGGCCCGTCCCACACCAAACCCTCCTTTGCACGAAAGCCCAGGGAGGCCGCTGTGTCAGGACAGGAGTCCTGCATGACAAACCAAGGCCAATCACTCCGGGGTCAGATCAGTGGGGGAGCAGATGGGAGGGGGCAGGGAGACAAGGAACACGCCAGGATTCTGGACCCTCCACTTTGTCTTCTTCCTGGTAAAATGGGAGTTACGGTGCCTGCCCCCAGTGCTGCGCTCAGGCTTGGCTGGAATAGCAGACGTCAAGGCTTTAGCATCCACTGAATGCAGACTACATTTTAATTTACTTCCTTCCTCAGGAGCAGCCTATGCTATTTTTTTTTTTCTTTTTCTTTCTTCTGGGCAGGGCGGGGGGAGGTAAAGATAGCATATCCAACTTCATTGCATCCAAACGCTGGGCCTTCAAAATAACCTGTCTGCAGCTTGGGGCAAAGCAGAAGAGGCCCCGAGTACCAAAGCATCGTCAGGGAGACAAGAGATGGAGCACCGCAACCCCGCGGGCCCTGGGGTGCTGGCAGAAGGGGGAGGGTAAGTCCCTCACAGCTGCGGGGAAAGAGGTGCAGGAAGCAACGCAACCACCACTGGGTGCTGTGCAGACTGTGGAAAGCGGAGATAAGCCAGCAGGCCGGGAGAGGGGCAGCCTCTCGCCTGGGGCTCGGCGCAGAGGAAGCTGCCTTCCCTCCTCTGCAAGCTCCAAGGTGACTGAGCCTGAGCCCTGCATGCTAATAAGATCGCCTCAGAATAATACAGATTTAAGAACAGAAACAAGGCAAGCCCCAGGACACCATTTGCCCTGCAGCTATTTCAACCTCCTGTTCTTCCTGCTACCACTTCCCTGCCAACCAGGCGAGGCTGTTACTATAGCAACTGGAGCTCCAGCTTGGGCCTAGGCTGCGAGAAGGCCAGTTCACGCTGGCCCGAGTGCGGAAGGGGCTGGAATGCTTTAAGAGGAGCCTTCTGGAGCCCGTTAGCATTTCAGATGTCCCAAACCCGCTAGGAAGGGGCCACAGATCACCACGGTTCAGTGGAGGGAAAGCACAGCCTTCTGCGATACTCCCCACCCGGGCTGTGACTCGGGCAGAGTACAGACTCCAGGCCACACACAACCTGCAGCCGCCCAGGCTGGGAAGGGAGGCCACCGGAGCTGGTGGCGGTGGCCGCGGCACCACCCTGGCCGTGCTCCCCATCTTCACCTGTGTGATGCTGCTTGCGCTGCACCTGAAGGGCAGGGCCCGTCAGCACCCCGACGCTGCTGCCGGGGAGGCCAGAGCATCCCTGCCCTGCGCTCTGGGAAAACGGAAGAAGTGGGAAAGGGCCAGGGACCTGACTTTGTGGGACACCTCTGCCCCCAGCACTGTGCGCTGCACTGGACTCACTCACCCCCAGCCAAGCCAGGCCGTAGGCACGACCGTCATCCGCACGTGGAAAGCACGTGGGAGGGCCTACAAGGTCCTGCAGCCCTGCGCGGTGCTGCCGGAGGGGAAAGCCTGCCCTGCTCGTCCCCGCTCCCGGGAGCCAGGCCTGCACACACTCACCACCTCCTCGATGGCAGCATCGTCACCCAGCAGCGGCTCCTCGGCCAGCAGGGACAACACGAGCCCGTTAACACTGTGGGTGTAGAGGTTCATTGGCACGAGGCCCACACAGGACGCTGGGGTTGACCTTGGGGCACTTCCGTGTGCGGAGGGACCGTAGTCGTCCTGAGACTCTGCCAAGTCTGAGCTGCCAGGTGCTGAGCAGCTGTCGTGCACCCCAACACGCTGCTCCACGCCCTGGTCCCCCACGGGCAGTGTGGTTCCTCTCTGCCTCAAGTCTGAGCAAGGCCGTGACTGAGGCCTGCTTGTCCTTCTGGGGAGGTGGTCTTCCCTGGGAAAGGGGGCTAGGCTGCTGTCCTCTGGGAGGTCGTCATGCTGTTCCAGGGCTCCGTTCTGACTGAGCATCTCAGGAGTGGACGGAGAGAGGAGGCTGCTGATGGCCACGGCCACGACCACGGGCGGGGCATCAGGTGGCTCGGGTTCCCGGTCACCAGAGTCCCTGACAAATTCCTCAAAGGCAGGACCACCACCATCTGGGGCGCCCATATTCGGGAGGGCAAAATAGCCTGAGGCTGTTGCTGTTTCCTGAGCTTTTGGAATGTGGATGGCAGACAAGTCTGGCTCCTCCCCCGCCAAGGGCAGACGAAGTTCCTTCACCAGGGAGTAGCCAAGACCGGGACCCTCGTCCCTGGCAGGGCTGTGCGGTTTTGCAGGCCTGACGTTCTCCAGATCACGGCCAGCCAAGAGCCCGTTCTCCGCCTTGCCATCTGGCCACGCTACGTCAGGACATGCAGACTTGGGAGTGGCTGCCAGCATCCAGGCCGTGGGCTCCACGTGGCCAGTGGCACCGTCTGTCGGGGCAGCGGTGCTCCGAGGCTGTGGGTGCTGCTGGGCTGAGCACTCCTGGAGTCCAGCCGGCGCTGTAGCAGGGCTGGCAAACAAGGCAGACGTGAGGGAGGGGCGCCCGGCCAAATGCAGGGCAGGTGCCCTTCCCTGGAGAACACTAAAGAACCGCTTCCCTAAAAAGCAGGGCCACTGGTGACAAGTGGGTGCCCGAGGCCACAGAGCTGAAGAGGCCTTGGTGGTCAAACCACAGGAGTGAAAGGAAGGCACTGTGCGGCCCTCAGGGCTTCACACGGTGCTACCAGATCACCTGCTGGAGACAGCAGGGCCCACTGCGTGAGAGCCAGCCCCACGTGCAAGTCTGCTCTGAGTCAGGGCCTGGACTGGATACCATACGTACACTATTTCCAATTTTAACACCGAGCCCATGGAGTAGGTTATCACTGGGTCTCTTTTACAGACGAAAACCCTAAGGCTCTGGCAGGGAATGGACTTGCCCAAGGTCACACAGCTGACAGGTGACAGATCTGGGACTTGAAACCCACAGCCGTCTCACGATGCCAGGTGCCTGTTCTACATGCTCGAGTCCCAGATGCTCCTTCCACGGCAGAGCGCGGGGAATATGGCATACGGAAGGCTAGGATGTCCAGGGGCTTGTGTGCATACACCCACTTGAGGGAGTCCCTCCAGCACGGTCTACCAGGAACCCCTGTGGCTCTGGTACCTCGTTGCCTGCTCCCTTGGGAACTCGTGGAGACTGGTGGCCTCCTCTTTGGTCAGGAACACAGGCATGATCCAGACATTCGGGGGGAGCGCCGCTCCTGGAATCACAAAGCAACACGGACAGGGCTCAGCCCTGGGCTGGGGAAGATGGAGGGGCAGTCACCGCACTTTGGGGGGATGCATCCAACCCACACGCCTGCTCAGAGAGGAGCGCTCTGACATGCTCCTCAGCCCAGAACAAAAGACACGAACCCATAGCTACCGTTCCCGTGCCCAGCAAGCAAGGAGCCCTCACGGGCAGCTTTACTCCTCGCTGTGGAGAAAAGTGACTTTTGGGGGGAAGAAAATGTAGTGGCACTTAAAAAAAGACAAAAACAAAAACAGATAAAAGCTGGAAAAAAGCACTTCCAACCGACAACAGGGATCTGCCCTAACTTGGGCTTCAAAATAAAACAAAATAACCGTCTCAGGGACACCTCCACATCCTGCAGAAGGTCTTTCTGGCCGCTGCCATTTATCTTAGCCCCTCCTGACCAGGATCCCCTGGACCTAGTTTGAGCAGCCTCGTAACAATGAGGGAGGGAGCATCTGAAAACAGGGATTTAGAAGGTACATCTAAAATCATGAGCCTTACGATCAGGATTCTGATGGCTAACTTTGTCCTTAAAGCTCTCGTCTGTTCTCCTAATCTATGAACAGATGAGATAACCCATGGGACTGCTTGGCCTCTCCCATGACTTGTGTAGGGGACAGGCAGCATAGCAGACCGCGTTCTCAAGATGTAGTGAGGCACCTTGCCACTCACCCCGTTCCTGCGGGCCACCCCCTCCTGCAGGTCTTCTCTGCAAATAAACACACACAGAAGTTGGCGCCGGGGACCGCTTTCTCCTCCCGACCCAATCATGACTGCGCCGGGCCATCTGTTCGGGAAACTTAGCCAGGCCCAGAATGTTGGCCCCCACCGCACGCCAGCAGCAAAGCAGATGGAACAGAAGCTCCCCCGAGCTGCTTGCTCACCACCACGGCCGGGGTCAGGCAAGAACCTGCACCCTGCACAAGCAGCAGCTTTCCCCCCAAATGCGCATCAGGCTTCACGCTCTGAGTGCTGTTTCCCTCCCTCTGGGAAGGAAAGTGAGGATTTCTGTTAACCTTTTACGCCTCCGGAGAACACATCTGTCACCATATCCCTGCACCTGCCACAGCCCTGGTGTGGAACGTACCAGCTCAACAGGTATGTGAACGCCCCGTGACCCTTGTGATAAAGGATCTGACCTAAACCAAAGGTTATGCAAGAGGCTCTCTGGCTTATTCCGATTCACAATCGAGGTGACAATCCTAATTTTCTCCCAAATTAGGAATTTTCTCAAAAGAGCTTTCCAGACAGTTCAACCAAAGGTTCTAAAATAAGCCACCAAAACAAAAACCAAAATCTCTTCTAGCCAGCATGGCTTGCACTCCTATGAAATGATGTGGCCTTCTTTCTTTTTTAGGGACTTTTTAAAAAACTCATATTTTATATATAATTATAAGTTACATAATTTTACTCTATATAATTCCCCTCTCCCCCCCCAAAAAAATCACGTAATTCCCTCACCCACAAGCTAATACTGTTAATCTGAGGCATATTTTCCTTTAAGTTTATGCATTTAAAAAAATACTTTGAAATTGCATTATATAAAATTCTATTTTTTTGCTTAAAAATAGACGCTCTGGACAAAGTGTCCCAGCTGGGTGAGGGGGCTTTACAATACCTGGTGCCGAGATGCAGCTGGGCGAATCAGGACCTTGGCCGTGAGGGAGGGTGGGAGCTGGGTGCTAACAATCCTAGGTCACAGGAACAAAAACACCATGAGACAAAATACATCATAGGACTCTGAATTGGAAAGATTCCTAACACCCTAACTGGTGAGGATCTTGGTGGGGGGGCGGGGGGAGGGCCTGGGTGGCTCAGTTGGTTAAGTGTCTGCCTTCGGCTCAGGTCATGATCCCAGGGTCCTGGGATTGAGCCCTGTGTCAGGCTCCCTGCTCTGCTCTCCCTCTCAAATAAATAAATAAAATATTTAAAAAAAAAAAAAGATCTTGGGGACACAGCCGGTAGCAGTTTCAATTGGCAAAGCCCTTTATGGAGGGCACTCTGGCCATTCCTACCGAACTTCAAAATGTCCAAACCCTCTGATCTGCCTTGTACCAAGATGCATGCTGAAGAGTATTGATTATCGAAAAAATGGCAAAATCATTACAGAAATGGGTAAACCCCGCAAATGCCCATCGAACAGAGAGTAATTAAGGAAATCATGGCACAGCCTTAACACCAAAAGGTGTGGGGCGATTCTAAGAATGAAGAAGACCAGCATGGACTGACAGAGAAATCTCTACCGTACACGCTGAGGAGCCCTGTGATCCCATTTACGGATGCGGCAAAAATAAACAGAAGCAATGTCCGCTGATGTGCCGGAAACACAGGGAAAAGCAAAGGACGTGCCTCCACCTGCTAACAGTGAGTCTGGGCTCAGAGAAACTTGGGAACTGCGCTCTGTGTGTTTCTGTCTTGGTTCAGTTTTTTTCTTTGTTGTTTTTTGTTTTTCACAATGAGACCCTGTTCACACATAAGGTGTATGAGAATGTGCCATGAGCAAGGGAGGAAAACATCATGCTTGATGCCAGGCCACCAGTGAGCCTGGAGGCACCACGAGCAGGTTCAGAACCGTCATCGTGAGCAAAGGGGAAAGGCATGATGGTGTGCTATGCCGAGGGCCACTGGGAAGCAGTAGGTCCTTCTCTGCTGGCCCTCTCATTTCGTTCTTTCCTGGTAGAGAAAACTCAGCAAGCAACCAGCCTGGGGTCACAGGGCCAGGAAGGTGAGGCCAGGACCGGAAACCCAGCCCATCAGGCCTCCAGAACTTCTCCAGTCACACATTCATCCAGTCATCAGTAAGCTCTGGGTGCAAGCAGCGGGCCCCCAGGAGGAGAGCTGCCTTGGACCAAGTGTGGAAGGGCCCTGAGGGCACCGGGCTCGCTCTGATGCCCTCCAACTACGTGAAGAGGTGTGCTGAGATCTCAGAGGCCAGCCGGGCGACGGACCCAGCCGAGAGGCCAGCAGGAGCCCGAGCAGAAGCAGGTATGGCCGCTCTGCAAGGCTGGCGACAGCCAAGTGCCCCGGAGCCTCGGGCAGCAGGAAGGGTCCACGGCAGGCTTCCACACCCCTTTACCCACAGTGCTGGCCGCTGGCAACCTGGGGATGCCCCATGCTGAGAGTTACGTGGATCTCTCCAAAAACTGCCTTTTATATTCCTAACCCTTTTGTGGACATAATTTCTAATTTCCCGGCTTTGCTGAAAGACAAGTATGTCCCCTAGGTCAAATCTAAACGACCTGATATTTGCCAAAGCAGCCTTCTTGGAACTGGCCAGAGACGGAGCTCCCCACGGGTGACCTGGAGATGGCCGGGCTGGTCAGTTCTGTGTTACAGGGAAAGGGGTCTGGCGTTACTCACAGTCCCTTATAGAGGATGCAGCCGGCTAGAATGTGAGGTGAACGCTGGCAGGCCTGCAGAATGAGGGCTGCCTTCAGCAACAACAGGGGTTCCACCTGTGCAGGGCGAGAAGCACAGCCACAAGTGAGCATGCTCGCCACCAGCCAAGCTGGGAAGGCGGGGAGGCTTTACAGAGTGGAGGGACGGGTGCTAAGCCAAAACCGGGGAAAAGGAGAAGGTACCACGTGGGAAGATCTGTGTCACGTCGTGGGTCTGCATTCCACCTCTCTATACCCAGAACTGCAGACGATGCAAAATGCCAAGTTCTTGGAACAGGGCGGCTTCTGCAGAAGCAGGAAGGTGCGGCGAATGTGGCCTATGGCCGCTCACAGGGGACAAGGGAGGTCTCCGCTCAGCAGACCCTGACTCGATACTGAGACCGGGAGGCAGCGGACGGGAGAGCCTACCCCTCAAACACAGGCTGCGGTGCCAGGTAAAACCACACGACCCCTCTGCTCCCCTCCCTCCGGAGCACAAGCCCTGCTGCCACAGAGCTAGCTGGCTTCGTGTGGCCTTATAACTCTGTCCCATAACAGGCAATGAAAACATCGTGGGCTCCCACTCAGAGAAATACTCCTCAGCTCCAGGGTCCTTGTAAGGAGTCAGGTGCCTACAAGTCCCTAAAAATACCAGAGAAGGATCTGAACCCGGTCAGGAGTCACCAGCAGTGACGAAAAGCCTCCTTCCTGTTTCCTGCTGGCAGCTAGAACCTGCGACACCATCGCCATCAGAATTCCGTGGCAACGGAGCAAGTTGTGGAGCTGACGCTCCTCTCTCACATTCTCGAGACAGTGCCCGGGCCCAGCCAGCCATTCGGCAAAGCTCTGGGGCCCACTTCAAACATTTCTCCCAACCGGAGCCAGGAAAATCCACCCCCAATTCTAGCCAGAGTCGGGCTCTGTGAAGGCAGAGTCACGACGCCACATCCCTGTTGAAGGGACCCTCTCAGCTCCTGCAGTGAGACACGCGCACGGCCCACACATCTCCTCGGGGGCTTCTTAAGGGGGCACAGCCTCGCGTCTCCCTTTGGCCCTTGACAATGAGGATGTGATGCTCACCAGGATCAAGGCCACGGAGCAACGGGCAGTCAGGCCGGCCATACAAGCAGCCGGAGGCCGATGGAACGGCTCCCAAGCACTCTCTCCCAGACAGAGAGACCTCGTTTTTAAAATGTTACCACTGGGCATTTTTGATGTTGAGAACACAAGGCAATCGTAGAATATCCTTATCAAGAGAGACGGGGACCCTCAGATGCCAGAGTTCCACGCTTCTGGGACACTAGCGAAATAACACCCCCTCTACGGTATGTACTTCGTGCCGTTTCAAGCACTGTCTCACTGTACCGTCTGCCAACAGTTGTGGGAGAGGGCACTGGGGCGGCAGCGTGTGGGTCTGGGGCGCGGGCTCTGTTCCTTTACATGAAATGGGTACGGGGCATGAGGGGTTACTTGAGTTCGGTCCAGGTTCCAGAGGGAACTGAATATCTTGTGCAGATCACTGGTGTTCTTCAGAATCTGTTCAATGAAGGTGTCCCATTCAGCGCACAGGTCTTCCTGAGAGCGGTCCTAAAACGGGAGCCACCTGAGGTCAGCGTCTGAGATCCCGCGAGACACACCCTTTGGCAAGGCTCCCTACTCCTACAAGACTTGTTCCTCACACAGGAGAGTGGCCAGAAGGCAGGGCCCGCTTTAAACCTCCTATGCACACGAGAACCCCCACCTGCCGCCCCCTGAGAACTCAGCCACCACAGACCCGGCGCACGTGCTGGGGGCGGGTGGCAACCTGCTCTTTCCAACAGTCCCAGGGAGGAGGACATGGGGACAGACATTTGCAGTGGATGTGACCTACACCACTGGGGAACAAAGGCATCTGACAGGGGCTCCAAGGCCCCTTGACCTTGTTGCTAGACATGCTGTATTTACGCCAAGTAGAACGGCCCCTAGAGTAACGCTGTGTTCTGGCAACATCAGGTTTGCTGAAAACGCCTCGCCACCATCTCCATACCTTGTAAGCCAGAGAAACAGGCCCATTGTAAAAATTAAAGACTCCAATGAGCTGATCCAGAAACTGCTTGCAGCTAATGTCAGGGAGCTCCACAGCACAGCCCAGGACCTGGAAAGAAGGAAACCAGAAGACGGACATTTTCCTTTGCTTTGAGTACAAGCGTGAAAACCCAGCACCCGGGGCTCTGCAGAGCTTGAATTCACTGACTCACCGATGGGTCTGCCCCAGGCCCACATCGTCCAGCCCAGCTGGTCTCCAAGACAACAAGTACTTTTTGTATCTCCTCATGTTGTCTCACCTGGGATGCCCTCCTTTCTCCTATTTGTCCACAGCTCTCCTGTCCCCTCGGTGCCTGCCACAGATTCCAGCACCTTCGTGGTGCCCATTCTGATCACTCTAACCAATGCTGATGTCTTTTCTGAGCCCTTACATTATCAGGACTGTTATCTGGGCACTGGATGCTTAATGCGGGTTTCACTACAAACACTGGACTGGACTCCGACCGATTCATGAATGGCATTCTCGTCTCCCCGGCTGGGTCAAGTGCTTCGGGGAGGGAACTGACCGATCATCACACCGTTCTAGAGCCCTGGAATACTGCTACATGTGCTCGGTCAGAAAGGAATCTGGCTGAATGTGTAAAGAGCCTGAAGAAAGTTTGTATTCTTTCACTCAGTGACTCCACCTGTAGGAATCTTTCCTGAGGGAATCACCAGAAACTTAAAGCAACAAAAAAACCCTGGCAGAAAACAGACGCATTCCCTCTGAATGGAGGCTCCCCCTAGGGCCAGGATCTTTGTTTTGTTCACTGATATAATCCACAGCCTGGCACACGGTCAGTGCTTACCTCTTCCCTGATTACTCTATAGATTGAATGTAACTCTAATCATCATCTGCCATCTTTCCTTCAAAAACTGACACGCTGATTCTACAAGGGAAACTTACAAAGGACCTAAAATACCCAAAGTTGTCCTGGAAAAGCATAAAGCTGGAGGACTTAGACTATCCAATTTCAAGACAGTGTGGTACTTGGATGGGATCTTCTAATAGATCGATGGAAAAGAGGAGAGCCCAGAAACAGACCCCCCCCCCCCACTGCAGTTGTCACTTGATCGTCAACAAAGGAACCAAAGGAATCCAAGCGGGAGAGTTTTTTCAACCATGGTGCTGGAACCACTGGATATCCATAGGGAAAAAGAGGACCTTTGACCTCTATCTCACACCACGCACAAATATTAATCCAAGATGGGTTACAGACCTAAGTTTAAAAGCTAAAACTAGGAAGCTTGCCCAGAAAGTGAGAGAATGTCTTCTCCTACAGGGTAGGGAATGATTTCCGACAGGATACAGAGGGCAATAACCACAAAGGATAAAACTGGCAAGTTAGACTTCATTAAAATGAAAACATTCTGGGGGTGCATGTGACTCTTGATCTCCAGGTCATGAGTTTGAGTCCCACGTTGGGTATAGAGATTACTTAAATAAACTTAGAAAAAAATTAAAACGTTCTGCTCATCAAAAGACATCATTAAGAAAACTGACAGGCAGGGCTCCTGGGTGGCTCAGTTGGTTAGCGTCTGCCTTCGGCTCAGGTCATGATCCCAGGGTCCTGGGATGGAGCCCCGCATCGGGCTCCCTGCTCTGCGGGAAGCCTGCTTCTCCCTCTCCCTCTCCCCCTGCTGTGTTCCCTCTCTCGCTGTGTCTCTCTCTGTCAAATAAATAAATAAAATCTTTAAAAAAAAAAAGAAAGAAAGAAAATTGACAGGCATGCCACAAACTGGGAGAAAATACTTTAAAAAAAATTTTTTTTTTTTTTAAGATTTTATTTATTTGAGAGAGAGAGAATGAGAGACAGAGAGCATGAGAGGGAGGAGGGTCAGAGGGAGAAGCAGACTCCCTGCTGAGCAGGGAGCCCGATGCGGGACTCGATCCCGGGACTCCGGGATCATGACCTGAGCCGAAGGCAGTTGCTTAACCAACTGAGCCACCCAGGCGCCCCTGGGAGAAAATACTTTTAAAATATATATCTGACAGGGGCACCTGGGTGGCTCAGATGGTTAAGCATTTGCCTTCGGCTAGGGTCATGATCTCCAGGTCCTGGGACTGAGCCCCATGTCGGGCTCCCTGCTCAGCAGGGAGTCTGCTTCTCCCTCTCCCTCTGCTTCTCTCCCTGCTTGTGCTCTCTCTGTCTCTCTCTCTCAAATGAAGAAATAAAATCTTTTAAAAAAAATTAAAATATATCTCTGACAAACAGCTGATATCCAGGATATAGAAAAAACTCACAACACTAAATAAAGAAAGAAAACCTAATTTTAAAAATGGGCAGAAAAGCTTTGGATAGACACTTCTCGAAGAGAGACAGACCAGTGGCCATTAATATCCTTAGTCATTAGGGAAATGTAAATGCAAACCACAATGTGGTATCACTACATACCCAGCAGAATGGCTCGAACTGAACAGACGGACAGCATGTGTTGACAAGGACGTGGAAGAACTGGAATTCTCACACATGGTAGGAGTGCAAAATGGTAAAATCGCTTGGGGAAAAGGTCTGGCAGTTTCTTATAAAATGAACATACACCTACCCTGTAACCTCGCAAATCTATACCTTAGATATTTACCCACGAGAAATGAAAAGTGATATCTACAACAAGACACGTCTAGAAATGCTCCCAGGGGCCTTATTCTTAATTGTTCCTAACTAGACACGGTTCACGTATCTAGAAAAAGGAGAGTGAGTAAGCAGACTGCTAGATCCAGACAACGGACATTCCGACAATGCTGGTGAACAATGAAAAGGAAGGAACTGCAGATACGCACCCCACGAGGTCACATGCACGAAAGAAACCTGCGGAGAGGAATACTACATGTACTATTTCACTCCTGTGACTTCTAGAACAGGCAAAACTCATCTGTGGTGGGAAAAAATCGGAATGATGGTTGCCTGGGACTCGGGAGTGAGAATTAACAGGATGTCGGGGAGCTGCCCAGAGTGATGCTAATATTCTGTATCTTGATGGGCCTCTGTCATACGGAGCATCATTTGTCCATATGCATTAAGTGGTACACTCAAGGTTTGTGTGTTTCAGCGTATGGAACTCTTACCCCCAAAGGAAAAAAAGTACAAACCACCACTGAACTCTAATTAATGTTATGCACAATGAGGTACTGGGGGCGGGGGGGGGGGGAGCGGGGGGAGGCGTATACTAGCGTGTGCAATTTTGGCAAGTATTAAAATAAAAACTGGGTTGCCGGAAGATGAAGGGATGGAGGGACGTGATAAAGTGACTGTAATAAAAAACATATATAATAAAACGGTAACTGTAGAACCTAGGAAGTCTACATGAGTGTTTACTGTAAAATTCCTTCACTGGTTTGGGATGTGAGAAAATGGTCATCATCGTAAAACGCTGGCAGGCATACCCACAAAGCTGAATACACCACCTCACACTTAAGCATCCTTTCACCTCAGAAATCAGTTTTAAATAAACGTAGGCATGGGACAATAAGACCCTAGTGTATATGGTGCCATCAACTGTAAAGAAGTCGTTTTCATTATTTTTAAATGGTTCTTTGAAAACTAACATCTACAAATCAATGTCTTCGAGTTTCTGGGTCATTGTCCTGTAAGTGTGGAGAGTACAGGGGAGAAAAAACAGAGGTTGAAAACTTGACCTGCATCACAGGGCAGAAAGAATTTCCACAGGCTGGCTGAAGTCTCTCAAAGGCAACAAGAAAGCAGCCATGTGCAACACAGGACAGGTCAGAAATACTCTGGAGAGCACTCGGTTACGGTGCCACCTGCAGAGAGGGACAGGGGAAGCGTGGACAGTCCCGCACGCAGCCCCTGGGGGTGCAGAGGGGTCCCAGGCTCCAGAGCACCTTGGCGACACAGCACTCATCACCAAGACAGATGACTCACGGCGGAGGCGACCCTGGCGGCGCGGGTTCTGTCCGGCCAACTTACCCAAAGGTACTCTCCATCCACCTTTATGGCGAACTTCAGCTTCCGCAGACGGACGAGGGTAGGAGCAGAGGCGGAGATGTCTGAGATACAGCGCACGACGCCCGCAATCTGGCTACAGAGCAACTCCTGCTGTTCGAGCAGGGTCTGTGGGGAAGCAGCAAAGTCCAGAGGGGAAGCTGAAACTGTCGAACTCATGAGGCATCCCTTGAAGCAGGGGCTGAGGCCACAGCGGACTGCAGCCGGCAGGCCAGATCCAGGCTGCTGCCTGGTTTCAGATGGCCCGGGAGCTGAGCGTGGTTTTCATAGTTAAGGGTGGTAATAGCAACAACAAAGAAGAGAGTGTGATGTCAACCTTCCGTGGCTGGCAAGGCCTCCATATTGACTCCTGGGCCCTTGTCAGGCAAAGTCTGCGGCCCGTGCGTGGGTAGCAGCGGGAGCCTTTGGTCCCTATTCAGATCCGCTGCAGAGTGGCCAGAGTGGCCTAGATTCATCCCAGCTACCCAAGTGGGAGCATGATCACGTGAGCAAATACACAGACCTCCTAATCGGTCTTAGATTAGCTAACCTGCGGGGCAGCCAGACATCTTGTAATGCAACAGAAAAGGTACACACCCCTAGGAAGAAGTCTTGCTTAAAAGAACCGAACTGGAACTTAACTGAGGCTCTAGATCTTACAACTACTGTAAAGGAACTACAGGGGAAGGGAGATCTGAAACGACACGGCCTTGAGGAAGTGATCAGGCCAATCCAGAATGTGGGACCTTCTGACATTCTACTGCACAAATGCCCTGGCTTCTTCGGTAATTCTGTGGCGTAGTGGGGAAAGGGGCTGGGTGGGTGGGTGAGGGGCGGTACACAATAAAAGAGACTTAAAACACAAAAGAAGCAATGGAATGTGTGGACCTTGTTTGGATCGTGACTAGGAAGTGGAGGGGGGCAGGTGAGGAGGGAAGGAGGGCTGGAGGAATGGAAGGAGCAAGGTCTGATTAAGTAACCTCTAAGACAGGAAGGCAAAATTTGAAAATAGATAATACCACATGATATTAAGGAATTATTGTTACTAATTAACTGGTTCATGAGGGCTTGTGATACTCTCCTTCCTGCTTTTGTATACCTTTGAATAAAAGTGTTTTAGGGGGTGCCTGGGTGGCTAAGTCGGTTGAGCATCTGACTTTTGGTTTCAGCTCAGGTCATGATTTCGGGATTGTGGCAGAGAGCCCCAAGTTGGGCTCTAAGCTCAGCGGAGAGTCTGCTTGAGATTCTCTCTCTCTCTCTGCCCTTCCCCCAACACACACGCGTACTCTCTCTCTCAAATAAATAAATCTTTAAAAAAAATAGTGTCTCAAGAAAAATTAATTTTAAAAAATTTAAAAATTTTAAAAAGTGTTTCACTTTTAATTTGAAAGTGTTAATTTAAAAAAGTGTTTTTGCTGATGAAAACCCGGGAGCAAGGGGAGGCAGACAGAAAATCAGGATGGTAGCAGAGAGCTAGAGAGGATGGAAGTGCTGAGCTGTCTGGGGCTTTCAAGACCAGAACAACAAGAAACAGTACAACTAAGGATAAGAGGGTAGAAATGTCAAATGCCTGGGTGATGCAAAGAACACTGTCCCAATGTCAATGCTATACTTTTGAAAAGCCACCACTCGGAGGACGTAGGGCCCCCCCCACCCCCGGAAGAGTAACCCGCTGGGGCGCTTACCTGAGGAGGGTAGAAGTAACAAATACCAGCTCTGGTTGGATCTCCTTCTTCCTTTACCTTTGAACCATCATAAAGGAAAAAATAATTCCACCTGGCAAGAGAACAGAACGGAGCCATGTTTCCTTTCATCCAGGGATCAAGGCATTTGAAAACACAGCTTCCTCTTTCCCAGCGTGAGAAGGGCTCATTACTCAGTATTTGAGAAGCCTTCTGGTGGCCCCAGGGGAGAAAGAACCCAGTAGCTACAAACAGATAAGAAAAACCATTTTGCAAGGGCCGTCCAGTCAAACTAAAAATATGCCTCAATCCAGCCGTCAGGCCGTCTGGCCAAAAAGACCGAAGAGTAGCTGGAGGAGAAACAGAGCACCCAGGGCCATCTCTTGAGACACGGGCCCTTAACCATACAACCACAGGGTTTGGGATGCTGTCTTTTAAGGCTCTGATAATAAAATAGTTAGGGGATGTCTTAGCTGCCCGCCTCACAGCTGCTGGGCACGATTATCTCCGGAAATATCCCTTGGATATCCCTTGGATCAGAAATTCATGTGTTCATTTAATGAACAGTAAATTAGGCCTGACGGTGTGCTCTCCCTCTGCCAGACCTGGGCCCGTGGCCATCAAAGGGAGACAGTAAACACACAGTTTCAATGCAGGATAGGGAGTCTATAATGGGAAAACGGGGCTCATGAGAGTTCACAGTGGAGCCCTGAACCCCTCTCTGCCTGGCAAAACCCTAACAGTATGTAGAATAACTCTGACACGACCCTTCATCAAACTTCTGATTTCCTCCACGCAAAGGAATCTCTCTTCTCAACTTCCATAACCCTCTGTTCTTCGCAAAGGACTCTGTCTACTCTGCAATGTAACCATAATTCACCTGTTTAAGACACACAAAGCAGACTCCCCAAAGGCTGGGCCTGGGTTTTACCTCTCTGAAAGCACACCCATCAGGCTAGAGCATAAGGAGGAGGAGCTGTGACCACTCTGTCACCCGCACTCTTCTCGCTGGATCTACGCCCTCCCCCTACACCCTCCCTGGCTCCCACCTTCTCGTTCCGGATGACAAGTGGGAACTCTGTTTCTAGTGCAGGGCAAGTCAGATCAAAAAGCCTCAAAAACGTGCCAGCCCCAATCAGAAACCCCCATGCCGGGCCCCCGTTTACCCGCTCCTTGTGTTCTCTGGGTGAAAGCACCCTCATTCAGGCACACAAAAGAAAACCGGGGTGTCATTTTGAACAACTCCATCTTTGTGCCTTCCGTGCACATAACCGGTCACCGAGTCCTGCTCCTTCTATTTAAACCATGCCTTTTGCTTTCATTCCTCAATGAATGTTTGCTGAAGCAAATGACGAGAGAGGCTTAACCCAGTTGGGGTTGAGTGGAAGCTGAGTTTAGGCAGACGTTGTATAATACCCTTCAAGAAGCGGACTGGCCAAACCTCTTCCGGTGGTGCAGTTCCACTAGAAATGTGCAGCCATTTCTCGTCTCTTACCAATGAAGCCTACAGCGCCCACACCGTCACCAAAGCCGACCGTGTGACCCGGCCATGGCCATCTTTTCTGCAATCTACCAGCAATGCCCGACTTGCTCCAACAATGCAAAGTCACAACCCGGCAGCTCTGGAGAGAAATGGCTCACATGCTTGATTCGCCTGCTCGGAGAAAAAAATGTCTCCCCACCCCTCCCCCTTAATAAAATCAAGACAGCCTGGCTGGGGATTTTCAGTTAATCCAAAACATGGGTCCAGCAGCCTGGCAGGAAGTAAGCCACACAGGCCTTGCTACTCACCAGGAGGCTGACGTCGGCTCTGTTGGGGTAATGGTGGCCATTTACTTGCCTGTTGCCCTCATTCTATTTATTTGGGTTTTCTTGTCTGGGATCGCTTCTTGCACCCCAGCAGCGACTATTCCTTTGTGTCCCGGATCCAGGAAATCCAGGCGTGAAAGGTTTAAATGTTTTCAGCCACAGCTGTCACCTGCTTGGTTTTCATTCAGCATGAAAGTGCTTCCTTCCTTCCCTGCAGGCTCTTTGGTGCCCTGAATACCTCCACACGTCTTAGAACTCTGGGAGAGAGTATATAATAAAGCAAGAGAATTCTACCAGAAAAGTCAAATCCACTAAGCTGGTTCCACGAGCATCAGCATTCTGGCTCTCTGCAGAACGACTTCTTCAAAAAGCTCCTGGCCAGGAAAGCCCAGTCGGGGAGATGCATGCGGAAGGTGGTGTTCAGAAAAGATTCCTAGCTTGTCTGGGTTCAAAGCCGTTCTGAAGATTCCTTTCAACTTTGTGAAGCTTCCGGTTCAAATATCAGTGCCTTGGTCCTAAGATAAACCACAAGGAATAGATTATTTCAGAAACCCATGAGAGAGCATGTGACCCAGCAGGGTTAGGCAAAGAGTCTTCTAGAAAGTTGAAAAATTGTTTCAGAAGAAAAGAGAGTGCAGCAGGACTTCAGAGCAAGTTCCTCTGTCTCTTTGAACAGTTATGCCTCACAGAAGATAAAATTAAGTAACTAGTGTGAAAAAGCTCTGTGTGCCAAGAACAGCTATACAAATAAGGTGGCTGTTGCAGTAATAATGGAACCCAAATTAAGGAACTGTCACCTTGACAGCTCAAAAGTAATCTGAACATGAATTCCAGAGCTGGGCAAGTTTTCAAAATAGGAGTTTAACAAGTGGCTTTCAAATTGCAAGAGAAGAGATGATTACGTATCATGGAATTTCAGTCAGAAGGGACCCTGGCATCATTTACTCTACTTATCTCTTGCACTCTTTAAAAATTACCTGGTCTCTGGCTTACTCCCTCCAGAGACACAGGCAACTCAGAGTGTTAACTTTATCCTTGCACCACGCTAAAACTGGCCTCCCGGTACCTCCCCACACTGGTCTGGATAACCCTCCAGAAAAACGAAACAGGGTTTAATTTTTCCACAAGGAAACCCCTTGGTCCCTCCAGAACTGTATTTCTCTTGTGACTTTGTCCAAGCTTGATGTCCCAGAGACAGGGTTTCAAATGCTTGCTCACCATCTTTCATCCTCCCAGGAATACAATAGCTTTTTAAAGCTCCTTTCCTAGAGAGGATTATCTAGAGAGGACCGAACTGACTCTTTGAGGACTGTAAAATCTCTCTCTTTTCTCAGCTTTAGATTATCTTGAGGTGAGCCCTCTATGGGGCCATACTCATGGGATTCCTGTGGAGAGGGGCGCGGAAGCTACTGGAATCAAGGACAGCAGCCTGAAACCCCCTCTCCCTCCTTCCCAGAAGACTGGGCCCTACACTGCAAGGTCCAAGCTCTTATCTCTGAAAGGTCCAAAAGAGGTCCATAATGTCCGTGGGGTAGGGCAGGTGCTGGGATGTGACCACAGAAGGCTCGGGCAGCCTGGGAAGTTGCAATAACGCCCCAAGGGAGCCAAGAAGTGGCCGGCAATAGGAAGTGGCCTCAGCGAGTCAGCGGGCCAGGAAAGGGGGAGCTAACCACTGCGATCGGGATCGGGCTAAGAGCACTGGGAGGTGTCTGGCCTCGGCTCCTGGGAATTTGTGGGCAAAGGTGTGTGTATGTGGGGGGGTCAATGCCGGCGATCGCCGCGCGGACGGGGCCGCCAAGAGGCGCTCTCGGCCACGGTCCCGCCCCTCAGGGTCCCCGCGCCGCCCACCCGCCGGAGCAGCCCGGCAGCCCAGCGCTCCGGGCTCGGACCCCACAGTGCGGGCGGCAGCGGGGCGCCAGCGGCTCCCTCCCGGTACCTACGCGCGCGGCGGAGAGGCCCCAGGATCACGCGCCGGCAGCGCCTATCGCCCCCTACAGTTCCCCGAGCGCTGGCGCGCGGTGATGACGTCAGGCGGCGCGCCGTGAGGTCAGAGGGCCATGGCGGCGGCGGCGGAACCGTGGCAGGCTGTGGCTCCGCGGAGGAGGAGGCGCTCTGCCGCGCGGCGTCCGCGAGAGAGGGAGGCACCGGCGCGGGACCCGGAGGACGAGCCCCAGGCGGGCGGCGGAGTCGTGCTTCGTCGCATCCGGGAGGCTGGGTGAGTGCGGGCTCGGCCCTGGGACCGAGCCTCAGTCTTGGCATCTGTAAAGTGGGCGGAACCGCAAACCCTTCGGGTTATTGTGCGGATTTAAGGGAGGTAAGGAGCTTATTACAGACTGGATCTTAGTAAAGGTTGTCGTTCCTTTGATTGCACTTCCAGCTGCGTGACCTTGCGTAAGGTATGTAATCTCCGTGCCTCGGTTTTCTCATCTGAGAGGTGGACCTGAAAACAGTACCTATATAGGCTTGTTTTGAGGATTTAATGAATTAGTTAATGTAACCCACTTCCAAAGTAAATGTAACCCGCGGTTCCTGGCGTGGGGTAAGCGCAGTATCAGTGTTGGGGATTAATATTATACCAGTATTGGTTATTGTTATTGCTAGCGCCGGGGAAGGAACACCAACGTGATTGACATCCTCATGATTATCATCATGAGTTAATTGAGGAGCTGCTGTGTGCCTGCCACTGACTTAAGCATTTCTACACTATCAGTTTGAGCATCTCAGTGGGCTAGGCTCCTGATCGGGCTCTGGGGCTTAGAGACACAGATAATGTTTGGAACCAGATTTCAAACCCTTGTCTTTGCTGCCCCAAAACCTGTGCTTCCAACCTCTCCATCATTGGGGCTTATCCCAGACCCTCATGCCTCCATGCTTGACTCTGCACCTTACAGCTTAGAACAGTGCCTAACACAGAGGAATAAATGTTACCTATTTTTGTTACTATTGTCTTTATTCATTTGCAGTCCTTTAAAGGCGCAGTAACAGCGTTTCTTAGTGATTCAGATCAACAGTTGAAGGACCATCCCAACTGAGAGAAATTAGACCAATTTTATGTGCTCCTCTCCCCCAGAATTAGGGTCAAGAGACAGTGATGACTCAGAGGTTACCACTGAATTAAAGAAGTTGGCTGCAGCAGCGACTTTTTGTAGGATCTCAAAAGACACCTATGAGATGGTACATGCCCAGGGATTTGGAAAACCCCTAAGGCACTTTCCGTACACCCTGCATTGTTATTCTTCCTGAGCTTCTTCAGTATCCGCCAGGAACTCCCTGCTTCTTCCTGTACCCCTGAGTGTGATGCAGTGCGCACTGCTCTGGGTAGAAAGGAGCCCAGCACTTTACATGCTGTTCTGTGCACGCACTCACCAGTGTACAAAGCTCTCCTTTAGCCTCTGCGAGGAATATGAGGGCAGCCTCCCGTGCAGATTTTTGCAGTTCTCTGTACTTTCTGAGTCCCCTGAGTAGTGGTGTATGGCTTATCTGTTTAAATCCAGTTTTGTCTTGTTTTACAAAACTTTTTTCTTATAACTTTGAAGATTACTCTCTCAGCAAATTCCAAGTTTGCAATACAGTGTTATTAACTATAGTCACCATGTTGTACATTACATCCTGTGACTTACTTATTTTATACCTGTAAGTTTGTACCTTTTGACCTCTGTCACCCATTTCACACCCATCCCCCTGCCCGTCAATCACCAATCTGTTGGCTGTATCTTTAAGTTCAGTTTTTTGGTTTTTTAGATTCCATGTAAAAGTGATGTCGTACAGTATTTGTCTTTGACTTCTTTCACTTAGCGTCATGCCCTCAGGGTCCATCCGTGTTGTTGCAAACAGAAAGATTTCGTTCTTTATTATGGCTGAATAGTATTTCACTTTATATACATAACACCACATCTTCTTTATCAGTTCATCCCTCCATGACACATAGGTTGTCCTCCTGTCTTAGCTATTATAAATAATGCTGCAATGAACATGGGGACTCATATATCTTTTCAAATAGGTGTTTTTGTTTTCTTTGGATAAATGGCCAGAAGAGAAATTGCTGGATTGTAGGGTCGGTCTACCTTTAATTTTTTGAGGAGCCTGCATACTGTTTTCCACAGTGGTTGCACTTACTTACATTCCCACCAACAGTGCACCAGGGTTCCCTTCCTTCCACCTCCTCGCTAATGTTTGTTATTTCTCCCCTTTTTGATACTAACCCTTCTAACCAGTGTGAGGTGATATCCCATTGTTGTTGTTGTTTTTGTTTTTTGTTGTGTGTTTTTTTTTTTTTTTTTTTTTTTTGCATTTCCCTGGTGAGTAATGATGTTGAGCATCTTTTCACATACCTGTTGGCTCTCCGTGTGTCTTCTCTGGGTAATGTCCATTTGGATAATCCTTCCACTTTTTGATCACATTGTTTGTTTTTTGTTGTTGTTATTGAGTTGTATGAGTTCTTTATATATATTGGATATTAACCTTTTATTAGATCTGTGATCTGCAAATCTTTTCTCCCAGGTGGTAGGTTGCCTATTTATTTTGTTGGTGATTTTCTTTGCTGGGCAGGAGCTTTTTAGTTTGATGTAGTTTTGCTTATTTATTTTTGATTTTGTTGCCTTTGCTTTTGGAGTGTGATCCAAAAAAATCCCTGCCAGGACCTATGTCAAGCAGCTTTTCCCCTAATTTTTCTGCTAAGAGTTTTATGGTTTCAGGTCTTATATTCAAGTCTTGAATCCATTTTGAGTTAATTTTTGTCTGTAGTGTAAGATAGTGGTACAGTTTCATTCTTTTGCATGTGACTGTCCAGTTTTCCCAGCACCGTTGATTAAAGAGACTGTTCTTCCCCCCTTGTATATTCTTGGCTCCTTGGTCATAAGGTACTGGACCATAGATGTGTGGGTTTCCTTCTGGGCTCTCTCTTCTGTGCTGGTGATCTGTGTCTGTTTTTATGACAGTAGGCCAGCAATCACTACAGCTTTGTGATAGAGTTTGAAACCAGGGAGCCTAATGCCTCCAGCTTTGTTCTATCTTAAAGATTGCTTTGGCTATTCGGAGTCTTTTGTGGTTCCATACAAATTTTAAAGATTCTTTGCCTTATGTCTGTGAAAAATGTCATTGGAATTTTGATAGGAATTGCGTTGAATCTGGAGATGGCTTTGGGTAGTATAGACATTTTAACACTATTAGTTCTTCTAATCCATGAGCATGGAATGTCTTTCCATTTACTTGTGTTGTCTTCAGTTTCTTTAACTTACAGTTTTCAGTATATAGGCTTTCACCTCCTTGGTTAAATTGATCTCTAAGTATTTGGGGTTTTTTGATGCAGTTGTAAATGTGATTGATTTTTAAATTTATTTTTCTGATCATTATTAGTGTATAAAAATGCAACAGATTTTTATGTATTTTTTATCCTGCAATTTTACTGAATTTGTTTAATAGTTTTTTGGTGTTGTCTTTACGGTTTTCTACATATAATATATCATCTGAAAATAGTGACCTTTACTTCTTCCTTTCCAATTTGGATGCCTTTTATTTATTTATTTTTCTTGTGTAATTGGTCTGGCTAGGATTTCAGTACTACAGTTGACCCTTGGCCAACGTGGGTTTGAACTGTCGGTCCACTTAATACATGTTCTTGTTTTTTTGTTTTGTTTTGTTTTGTTTTCAGTAACTACAGACATTGCTGTAAATGTATTGTCCTTTTGGATTTTCTTTTTTTTTTTTCTTTTCTTCTCTTCAAATTTTTATTTAAATTCTAGTCAGTTAACATACAGTGCAATATTGGTTTCAAGAGAATTCAGTGATTCATCACTTGCATACAACACCCAGTGCTCATAACACGTGCCCTCCTTAATCCCCATCACCCAGCTAGTCCCTCTCCCCCCAGCGCCCCTCTATCAAACACTCAGTTTGTTTTCTATCAAGAGTCTCTTATAGTTTGTTTCCTTTTCTGTTCTTTGTATTGCCCCTCGCATTTGTTGATCTGTTTTGTTTCTTAAATTCCACAGGACTGAAATCATATGGTATTTGTCTTTCTCTGACTGACTTATTTTGCTTAGCATAATACACTCTAGCTCCATCAGGATTTTCCTAATCACATTTTTTTTTCTCTAGCTTACTTTGTTGTAAAAATACAGTACATAATATATATAATATTCAAAATATATGTTAATTGACTCTTTGTGTTATTGGTAAGGCTTCTGGTCAACAGTAGGCTATTAGTAGTTCAGTTTTGGGGGATTCAAAAGTATACTCAGATTTTCAACTGCACAAGGGTTTGGCACCCCTGATCCCTGCATTGTTCAAGGGCGAACTATTATGTTGAATAAAAGCGGCAAGAATGGGTGTCCTTGTCTTGTTTCTGATCTTAGAGGAAAAGCTTTTGGCTTTCACCATTGAATATGATGTGGCTTGTCATGTATGGCCTTTATTATGCTGAGTTACGTTCTCTGTATACCTGCTTTGTTGAGAGCTTTTATCAAAATGGGTGTTGAATTTTGTCAAATGCTTTTTCTGCATCTGTTGAGATGGCCGTATGGTTTTTATCCTTCATTTTGTTAATGTGGCGTATTACTTTGATTGATTTGTGGATGTTGAACCACCCTTGCATCCCTGAAATAAATCTTACTTGATCATACCTCTTACTGTATTGTTGAATTTGGGTTGCTGATATTTTGTTGAGGATTTTTATATCTATGTTCATCACAGATACTGGTCCGTAATTTTCTTTTCTTGTGGCATCTTGGCAGGTTTTAATAAAGGCAATGCTGGCCTCCTAAAATGAGGTGGGAAGCATTCCTTCCTCTTGTTTTTGTGGAAAAGTTTGAGAAGGATTGGTATTCATTTTTCTTTGAATATTTGGTAGAAATCACCAGTGAAGCCGTCTGGTCCTGGACTTCTGTTTGTTGAGAGGTTTTTGATTACTCATTTAATCTCCTTACTGGTAATTGGTCTGTTCAGAATTTCTGTCTCTTCGTGATTCAGTCTTGGAAGGTTGTATGTTTCTGGGAATTTATCCTTTTTTTTCTAGATTGTTCAACTTGTTGGGGTGTAATTGTTTGTAGTAGTCTCTTATGAGCCTTTGTATATCTATGGTATCAGTGGGAACATCTCTTTCATTTCTGATTATGAGTCCTCATTCTTTTTTTTACCTTGGGTCTAGCTGAAAATTTGTCAGCTTTGTTCTTTTCAAAGAACCAGCTCTTTTGTTGATCTTTCTATTGTCTTTTTAGT